GAGCTCCATCCGACGGTTGCGAAGTAGATCTCCATGCCGGCGATCCATCTGCGGGCGTCGGAGTTTCGATCGCTCGGATCGAACAGCTCAGGTGGGCGCGGTTTCGGAGCCTCAAGAAACTGCTGCGACTGCTGCGTCATCGCTATTGTCGTGTCGTGCTGTGTGCCGGCGAGTCGAGTTACTCGTTCGAACTCGTTTCGCCAAGCTTCGCGTTCGGCTCGCATCTCCTCCTGAAGGGCTGCGATGCTCGAGAAGAGCTGCTGGGTAACCTCGGCATTGTCGAAGGTCGCCATCCTATTCAAAACGCGGAGCTGGTGCTTACCAGAATCGGCGCCGAATTAGTCGCCCCCGGTGGTTTTTCGAGGCAGGTTTTCCCGCTGCAGCTGCTTTGCTGAGCGCGGCCGAGTCAGAAAATATATGATTACCCAATTGTCACATGATCGAATGTGTCGAGGAAACGTCGCACTATCAAATGATACAAGTCGCTTTTATACTTCCAGAGTACATCACGTAACCAAGTTTATCCTATCCAGAGGGAATCGACCCTTCTAGAAACAGAATCAACCTACGTATAGCCACGCGAGGCTATTGGCTTTAAGGGATTATGACAGGATTACGCTAGATATAGCGCGCCCGTACATCCCGAGCCTGGTCGGTGATATAATTATAATAATAGGATAAACCAAAGGATAATGAAAAAGGAAGAATAGGAAACCAATTGAGGTGAGATAAAAAGAGAAATAAAATAGAAAGCTGATATGGAAAGGGCAAGTGGTGTAACAGGATCGTACTCTCACAACGGCGCAACCGGCCCTCGACCCAGGGCGTACACGGCAGCGAAGGCGAGGGAGGGATGGCAGGAAGCGACGCAGGGAGACTTAGGACAAGACCGTGCTGAGACATGTGACGTAGGCGCGGGAGTGCGGGGTGACCTCGGCGGTGGTGCCATAGAAGCGACGGGTGAGTGAGCGACCGACACGAGCAAGTTGCGGTGACGTGGGTAGACGCAGGGCCCGGGGAGGACGGGACAACCGGGGGGGGGGAATTGTGTCCAACGTAAATAGGCCAGACATCGGGTCCCGGGGGAACGTCACAAGGGGGGAACCTGAGGCGGCCTCGGTACAGACAGCGTACCGCTCGTGAAAAAGGAAACGTAGTGGTGATACCGAGGTTCTGAAGACAGCCGACACCAACTAAGTTCCTGGAGAACGAGGGGATGTGGAGGCCTATAAGGGAGCCTGAGGGGACCGCGGGAAGGGGGAGGGTAGTGTAGCTGCGAGCAATGACAGGACCAGACGAGGGGTCAGCAAGTGCGACAGCGGCAGGTGTGGCAAGCGGCGTGAGTGCAGCGTGATCGCGGAGGAAGTAGGCAGACGCACCGGACTCAAATGTGAAGGACAGCGAAGCAGTAGCTGCAGACGAAGGAGGAGCGAGTGTGGAGCCTAGGCTAGACAAAGCAAAAGGTACTACGCCTGACGCAGCAAGGGAGTCTGTACTACACACAGGTGCTACTCCTAAGCTAGAGAACACAAGGTAATAAGATTCGCACACACTAGATGCGTCAGCATACAGAGAATGCAAGGCAGAAGCAGGCACACTGTGGCGCAGCAGGCTGGGCCAGTCAGGGAGGTTCGAAGCCGGGCCGAAGCGGCGACGAAAGAGGTTGTCGAGGTGGCGGAAGCAGCGGGCGGCTGGGTGCGGGCGGCGACACACAATGCCACAGAGGGGCCCGGTCTGGAGCTGGTATTGACAGCCCGCTGCACCGAAGCAGCCGGTAGATGCCGAGCTGCGAGGACCGCCACCTTGGCCACCACTTGCAGGGGCTCTCGGCCACCCTGGGGGGAGGCGGGCCCACGGCTACTGCTGCTGCTACGGCTGTTATAATCACAATAGGCTTAGATGTGCCTATAATGAGAGATAGAGAGCACAGTCGGATTTCCGTCAGACGGTTTCAAATATTGATAACGATCTGGTCTCTAAATCAAACGGTGATCTTTAAGTTGTATCTAGAGCGCGTTGCTGTCGTCTATCAGCAGCAAGTTGAATCATGAAATTCCATGAAGGTTTGACGACGCTATGGCGGTTTGACTAGCAGGAGGTATAGCAGCCACTATAGTCTTGGAAGTACAAACTTAGCAAGAAGAATTCGAGATGGAGATGGTTCCCAGCCTCTACATGCCCCAAGAGCCGAGGTCCAGGTTGGTGGTACACCACCACAGAGTCCCCAACCATGAAGAGTCTCGAAACAAACCCTCCAAGGGGCTACACCAAATGAAATGTAACACTACACGAAGTAGCGTTACTATTTTCACTATTTAATATTTATCCGTGTCCCTTGGGCTTGAAATCTTGAGCTCTTGGTCTTGGTTCTGCAAGATAAATTCTTCTTGAGTTGATGGGGGCTTGCTGCACACACCTGCGATGCGATGGACACTTCACACTCGACAAAATAGAAAAAACACATGCGACACGCAAACGACGACTTGACATGCGAGTTGTAAAGACTCGCTAATGTCTTGACCGACACAAACCACATTGTGATACACCATCCAAACTCACACACAAGCACTAGATAGCAATGAAATAGACTCACAAATCATTCCATGCCATGCATGCACACACACAAACAAGGACGACAAGCCGAGTGCAAGCCATAGGGTTGCACCAACAACGGCTGCTACTGCTGCTGCTGCTGCTGCGACTGCTGCGGCTGCTGCTGCTCTTGGACACCTGCCCCAGCTCCCTCGTCAGAACCACTGTCGCCGACGCCACCGCCACCACGCCCTCCCTTGGGGCCGCAACGGCCCCGACGCTGGCGCTGCTGCTGCTGCGGGAAGGCCGCCGCTGCAATCTCAGGGGCAAGAGCAGCCGTAGCGACCGTAGCGGAGACGTCCACATACGTGCATTGGGAGGGAGCACAGCCCTGAAAGATAGGGACTGCCGCAACACCGCTCGACTGAGCGATAGTGCGCTGGCGAGTCCCTATCTCAGAAAGGGCAGCGACAAATGCGGTCTGGGTGTGGTCACTAGGGTGCTGACTAAGGAAGTGGTCGCGTGTAGTGGCTAAGCAGTCAGGGAGGCGCATGGCAATAAGGTACAGGGTAGCGTAGAACGGTGGGGGGAAGGTCGTAAGCTGGGCAGTAGTGCTAGCAACACGGTAGCTAGTCTCTAGTGCACGGAGGTGAGTGGCGAGATCAGCAACAGTGGGGAAAGCAGAGGGATCGGGGACGAGCACGGGGAGGATTATGCGGCCAACTGAGGCAGAGGCAGGCGTGGAGTAGCGTACTGCATCTAGGAAATCCTTGGCGTTCACGACAGTAGTGAAGTGCGGGCGCTCAGAAAGGGGAAGCGCATGACTAATGGCAAGCTGCGCTACAGCATCGCGAGAATCACAGACAGCGCGAGCGAGTGTAGTAGCAGTAAAGGCCTCACTCTCAGCAGTGGTGGGGTCAGCAAGGAGGGGATCAGGCATGGGGGGGCGGGGAAGCAAGCCATCAACATGCATAGCCAGGGAGTGCCCATCGACAGGCCGCAGGTGGCGAAGTCGATCATGTGCCCCTCCACGTCCAGACGGAGCATGGCGTCCGCCATCGTGCAACCACAGCGGCACCGGAACACAGCGGCACAGCAGCACAGGGACACAGCAGCACAGGGACATAGCAGCGCAGGGACTCAGCGGCACGGCATGACAGCGACGCGGCGGCAGGACTCTCCGGAACTGAACCGAACGGAAGGCCGAGTAATGCGTGCGAGGAGTCGAGGTGCACAAGGGGCCGGAGTGTGGAGAGGAGCCGGCAGGGCACGTGGGGCCGGCAGAGCGCAGGAGAGGGTCCGGCTAGGTGATAGGGGGCCGGCTAGGTGGTAGGGGCTGGCTAGGTGGTAGGGGACAGCTGGGCGCAAGGGGCCGACGAGGCGCGAGGGGCCGGCTAGACGCGAGGGGCCGGCTAGAGCGCAAGGGGCCGGTGAGGTGTGAGGGGCAAGCTAGGGCACGAGGGGCCAGCGACGGCGCGAAGGGCCAGCTAGGGCGCGAGGGGCCAGCGAAGGCGCGAGGGGCCAGTGGGGCGTGAGGGGACACCTAGGGCACAAGGGGCGGGCCGGCTGATCGCGTAGGGGCTGGCTGGGCACTAGGGGCGGGCGACAATGCGAGAGGCCAGCTAGGGCGGGAGGGGCCAGCTAGGGTGCGCGGGGCCAGCTAGGGCGCGAGGGGCTGGCGACGGCGCGAGGGGCGGGCCGGCTGGTCGCGAAGGGGCCTGCTGGGTGCTAGGGGCGGGCGACGACGCGAGAGGCCAGCTAGGGCGGGAGGGGCCAGCTAGGGCAGGAGGGGCCAGCTAGGGCAGGAGGGGCCAGCGAGGGTGCGAGGGGCTGGCGACGGCGCGAGGGGCGGGCCGGCTGGTCGCGAAGGGGCCGGCTGGGCGCGAGGGGCCAACTAGGGCGCGAGGGGCCGACGGGCACGCGAGGGGCCGGCTACGGCGTTAGGGGACGGCGGGCACGCTAGGGGACGTCGGGCGCGCCAGGGGCCGGCGGGCGCGCTAGGGGCCGGCGAGGCGCGGTAAGCTAGGGCGCGGGGCGGAAGCGGGTGGGGGGGGACCTAACCTATGCATGATACCATGTTAGAATACTAGAATAGTTTGAAACAAGGGTGAACAAGAGAGATATAGTGTTGGGGTTGTACCCACTAAGAGCATAAACCTACAGTATAGCCTATTGCTTCTACATAGAATCATACAGCGACGGAAAGTATTGCCCAGATAATTGCCTTAAAACATTTCTCGTACTGGTTTGGTGCCTTCTTTGTTTAGTTACGAATCAAATTTCGGGGTTGGATGTAAAGTAGTACTGTACTGTATGTGACGGATGCTGGTTTCAGTTTTATAGGGGTCGATTTTTTACCGAGGACGAGATTTCGTCCGCGTGGGTGCATCCGGACAATTTAGGCCAAGCAGCGTAGTAGATCTATTTCCTAACCTCGCTATTTCTTCTTACTTGCCCTCGCGAGTATCGAGTAGTCAGGAGATAGGCTAGGACCGCTGCGATGATTAGGCCGTCATGAAACCGTTAGATGAGGCGCTCTACGCATAGATCATTCCCTTGTTGCGGAGGGGGTAGAGCAATCGTTGAATCGCTAAACAGCTAGCCATAGGGAAGAGTTCGGCCCATCAAGGCGATTGTAGAGTCTACCCGCGATGACGTGCGTCCTACGATGCCCTCAGCCGGTCGCCCTCGCTTAGTGACAGAGAGAGTTCGCCGCGGCATAGTTCGGTCGATTACCCTCGAGGAGGCCGAAATCTCCGCTCACGTGGCGAAAATCGTTGAGAAGCAGCACGGCATCACGTTGCATCCTAAGACATTGCGTAACGCTTAGAATGGGAGCCGACTTGTCGCAATCAAGCATCCCAAGAAGCCGCGACACTCTCGGAAAAACATACGCGATAGGCTGGAATGGGCGCGTGCCCACGCAGACTGGACGGTCGACGACTAGAAGCGCGTTTTCTGTGCGGATGAGACCAAGATCGGTCGTCTTGCATCCAACTGACTCTCATACGCCTGCGTTCACGAAGGGACTGCCCTCCAAAGACACCAAATCAAGCAGACCGTCAAACACGGGGGCGGTTGCTTGATAATTTACGACTGCATGTCGTAAAAGGGAGCGGGTTTCATGAGCAAAACATATGGTAGGGTGGATGGACTGCTCTCGCTGAGTATACTGCAGGACGATCTCAACAGTACGATTGAGCTTTACCAGCTTACACCCTCAAAAACTATCTTCCAGCGTGACAACGACCCGAAGCACAAGTCGCGTATCGTACAGGAGTGGCTTTGAGAGTAAGATTCAGGGGTGCTAGAGTGGCCGTCTTCCTCACCCGACCTCAACCGAATGGAGCATTTATGGGCTCATCTCAAGAGGCAGCTGGCCAAGCCTTATAAGCCTCCCACTGTATGCTAGACCTTTGGGAGCGAGTGCAGGAGAAATGGGAGAAGATCCCAGCGGATGTGTGCACCCACCTGGTGGAAAGCATGCCCAGGAGGGTGAGGGCGGTGTCTAAGGCGAGAGGGCGGTGGATTAGGTACTAGTTTGGGGTTGATGTAACTTGCTGCTTGCGCCTGGCAATAATTGTCCACATGTACCAAGATTGTTATTTTCTGGTATTTGTTGTAAACATCATTATACTTGTGTGATGTAAGGCATGGGCGTAGAGCCTTACCCTAACCTACATACACTAGGCACACCAGAAGATTAAGGCTTAATGTCCATGACCCCCTAAAATGGCAAAATTCCTCTAAGTCACAAACATGTGGACAATACTTTCCGTCAGTGTATGTATAAGTTGACATTATGTTCCTACAATAAGGCTGAGGGCGTGGTACTTTTGAATCTGTTCACTTGATTTGTTCGGGTTGCTTGTTTCGCCAGCTTGCTTGTTCGAAATTACTCGCTAACAGGCTTTCGCGATTAGGTGGCAGATTCGGAAAAACCAAAGCCCGCACTTGCGAACGACCAACATTCGTAAAAGGAAGCAATCAGACGGTATTCGCGACGCGGACGAAAATACTTGGTATTAGACAAAAACATTCGTGCTGGGCAGAATGAGCAGGGTTTATGCGCTACTCGCTGTTGCGACATTTCGTTTTCGCAGAAAACCAAATTGCTGTTGCTAGGTTTGTGTCGCATCGTAACATTGCTGCGTATGCACACTACTCGATTTGTAACCCTTCCATCACACATGGGAATGACTTGTTCGCAGAAAAAAGTTCGATGTTTCTCAAAATTAGAAAAAGGTACCATGCCCTAGTGTGAGGCAACATGATATGCGATGAAGCACTAGTGGATAACGTTATAAGGGAGTTGTTTGTATGATGATTGTACCCAACCAGATCTCCTGCTACCTATAGAAGGCACTCATCTCAGACACCGAATCCTAGGTCCCTAGACATCACCGACTCCTAAGTAATGCGAATTGCAGGCGTGGTCTATGAAATACTTTTAGAGAGCGCTAACCGCGCACCTCATGGGTGTCTGGAAAGCTTCCGGGGCATAATATGCCCTTTGGCTGTCTCTCATAGCAGGTAAGTCGCGGTCAGCCGTTGAAGCTTCGGTTAACTTAGCGTTCCGATAGTTATCACATTCCTTGTCCCAGCGTCCCAAATGGTTATAACGTTCCCTGTGCCTAATCGTTCCACCCGCGCTTCGACTGGCCGTTGAGGGTTGCACATTCCTCCTCTCTAGCTTGCTCGAACCCCCAAGGCCATCTGGTCGTCGCCGCTAATTTTCTAAAGGGCTTGCACGTTTCTCATCAACCAGAATCAGTCCCCTTCGTCATCTGTTGGTTGCTGCAGTGACCACTTTCTAACCCAGTGGCACAGACACGCTCTCCTCACTGTCGCTGTACTATATCCCCCATTGCAGTCAGCTGTAGTCACAGCACAACCGTCCAACGAGCTGCCTCTGGGTCAGGTGATAGAGATGGAGGCGCACCTCAACCTCCTTTCCATCTAGTTTTAGAGACTCGGATACTCCTACCATATCTGTACCATGTCCCCCCATTTCAAGCACTCCCCCCCGCATTCCCCTCTTCTCCACCCCTTCCCCCCCTCCCCTTTCCCCCCTCCCCTTCCCTCCCTCCCCCTTTCCTTCCCTCATTCCTTTCAGTGGTGGTCGCAACACGGCCATCTAATGAGCTGCTGCTACAGGCTATTATGTCTCTTCTCTACTTAGCAGTGGTCGCAGCACAGTCATCAGACGAGTTGCTGCTGGGGCGAGTCGCAGAAATGGAGGAGCAGCTCAACCTGCAGCTGCTAGAGGGAGTTAGATCACTCAGCCCAGGATCCCCATGCTGTGCTGTACTGTGCCCCCCCGTTCCCTTCAGTGTTCGTGATTGCACAATCGTTCGATGAGTCGCTGCTGGGGCGGGTGGCAGAGATGGAGGAGCAGCTCAACCCGCAGCTGCCGGAGAGTGGATTGATTGATGGTAACCCACCTTCTCTTCTCCACCCGTCTTCCCCCCACCTCTCCCCCCCAAGCTTGCTCAGTGACGGTCTTGGCGCAGTCATCCCATGAGATGCTGCTAGGGCGGGTGGCGGAGATGGAGGAGCAGCTCAACCTGCAACTGCAGGAGAGTTGATTGATAGATGGTAACCCACCTTCTCCCCCCGTCTTCCCCCCGCCTCTCTCCCCCCAATCCCCCTCAATGACGGTCTTGGCGCAGTCTTTCGATGAGTTGCTGCTGGGTCGGGTGGCGGAGATGGAGGAGCAGCTCAACCTGCAGCTGCTGGAGGGTCCTGCTGACAGCACAGCTCAGCCCACAGGAAGTGCCACAGTCAAGGCTGCCACCACTGCAGGCACGGGCATTGCAACGTCAGTCTGCTTTCTCCTCATGTCTCCGGCTTTCTCCCCATGTCCCGTTTTCTCCCTATGACTTGCTCCCTTGTCTCTCTTCTGTTATCTGTGCCTCAGTTCCTATCCCCCCTCCATACCCATCCCCCCTCCCACAACCTGTCCATCCCTTCACTTCACCCCTGCCCCCTTCCCCGTTTTCCATCAAATCGGCGCCACCGCACCACTGCATTCCACCTTCGCAGAAGGGCTGCTGAAAACTCCCCCTCTGCCTCGCGGCATGCACCACACTGCAACAAGCTCAATCCCAACTTCTTCCGTTAAATCGGCTTTCCACACATTCATCCATCCCTCCCCCACTCCCCTCCATGTACACCACTCACCTCCCCCCCCCCCCCCCCCCCCCCTCCTTCCCCTCCCTCGCACCAGATCATTGTCACACTTCCGCACGTCCCTCATTTGTAGGAGGCCTGCTGGAAACCTCCTCTCTGTCCCGCGGCACATATTGCAACAAGCTAAATAGCACCTCCCCCCAAACCTGCTGTTTGTCCACCCCTCCCTCCCCCTCCCCTTCCCCCCCCCCCCCCCACCACACCACATTAGTGTCGCCGCTACCACCTCATCCCACCTTCACCGAAAAGATGCTGACAACATCCTCTCTCCCTTGCAGCAAAACAGCTTCAATCTGAATAGATCCTCCCCTAAACCTACTGTTCATACATCCCTCTCCCCCCCCTCCCGCCTCCCCCCTTCCCCCTCCCACCCCCACACCACATCAGTGCCACACTTCTTCTGCGTCCCACCTTCACAGAAGGGCTGTTCAAAACCTCCTCTCTGCCCCGCGGCATATCCCGAATGTGCGGGCCTGGTACTTTTTGAACCTGGTCGATGAGGAGTACCTGTTTTCGGACGAGCCTGTGAATTGCCCGAAACTGTCGAAATGGGAGGAGGTTGGGGCGAAAAGGGCGGATCCTAGGTGCACCCATCTAGGGGATAACATGTGGTTTGATAAGTTTGTGCCGCAGTATTTTAAGATTATAGATGTGTATGTGGATGGTAACGGGGTGCTCTTTAACGAGTCAATGCATTTCTTCCACCACAGGTGCTTCAAGGACAAGGAGGTGAGTGAGATACGGTTAGACGAGGTGAGGTGAGGTGAGGTGTTTTGAGGTGAGGTGGGGTGCGGTGTGGTGAGGCGAGGTGAGGTGGGGTGAGGGGAGATGAGGGGGGGTGAGGTGGGGTGAGGTGAGGTGGGGTAGAATGAGGTGACGTGAGGTGATGTGAGGTGATTTGAGGTGAGGTGAGTTGAGGTGAGGGAGGTGAGGTGGGGTGGGGTGAGGTGAGGTGAGTTGAGGTGAGTTGAGGTGAGGTGAGGTGAGGTGGGGTGGGGTGAGGTGGGGTGAGGTGAGGTGAGTTGGGGTGGGGTGGGGTGGGGTTGTTAAAGTAGCTAGGTAGCTAGGGAAGCCATGGAAATGGCGTGAGGTTTTAGGTGGGAGAAAACTATCACAAGAGAAGAGTGCTTGAACTAGAAGAGAGAGGGATACAAGAAGGGGGATTGTACCCTCTACAGTAGGATCCAGTAGCACCTACCAAGCTTACAGTTATATATATAAAATATATAATTTAACACACCCCCTAGGCTTGGTAGCCGAATGCACACCACACACACTACACACTAAGCCACACACCCACTAAGCCTAGCACCCCCATACTCAGCAGCAGCGACGGCTACTCCAGCATGGTCGACCCCTCGGCATGTGAGGCGGCGACGTCGACAGCGAGGGCAGTGGCTGCAACGGCGGCAGCGTCGACAGCGGCAGCGGTGGCGGCATGCGGCGGCGTGGCCAGCGGCACCAGCTGCGGCGGCGGCGGCTTCGACGACAGCTGCGGCGTCGGCGGAGCTCGCAGCACTTGGCGGCGTGGCCGGGCTCCGCGACGGTGGGATGGTCGGCGCGAGTCAGCTGTCGGCTGCGGCGAGGAAGAGGGGACGCAGAGGAAGGGGGCGGGGCTTCAGCAGCGGAGCCCAGGAGCGTGCCGTCCCGTGTGGCGCGCTGGCTGCATGCGGGCGTGCTGGCCAGCGCTAAGACCGGGCACTGGCCGCTGCCATCCGTGCCGTCCGCGTGCTGGCACGTAGACGCCGCCATGGCAGCACGACGGCGCCATCACGGCAGCACGACATGGCCATGGCAGCGGGGCGGAAAGGACAGGAGGGAGGAGCGGACTTTGCGGAAGCGTGATGAGCAGGCCCGAGCATACGGATTTGCTCTGATACCATATTAAAGTAGCTAGGTAGCTAGGGCGAGAGAGAAGAGTGCTTGAAGTAGAAGATAGAGGGATACAAGAAGGGGGATTGTTCCCTCTACAATAGGATCCAGTAACACCTACCAAGCCTACAAATATATATATATATATATATAATATATAATTTAACATGGGTGAGGTGAGGTGAGGTGAGGTGAGGTCAGGTGAGGTGAGGTGAGGTGAGGCGAGGTGAGGTCAGGTGAGGTGAGGTAAGGTGAGGTGAGGTGAGGTGAGGTGAGGTGAGGCGAGGTGGGTTCAGTTTATCTTCTCAACATCTCTCATTCTACCAAATCGTCGCTCTCTCTCTCTCTCTCTCTCTCTCTCTCTCTCTCTCTCTCTCTCTCTCTCTCTCTCTCTCTCTCTCTCTCTCTCTCTCTCTCTCTCTCTCTCTCTCTCCTTCTCTCCCCTGCAGTTCGCCTATCACGCGAATCAGACCCCGGTGCAGCAGTACCACTG